GTAATGTTGAAGATCAAATGAGATAAACTACATGGAGGATCTTTGTAGAATGTAAGCGGTAGACAAATTGCAAGCTATCATCATTCTCCTAAATTGGATTTCTCCCCCTCAGAATCGGATCCACTGACATGTTAGATTTGGTTCCCAGAAATGTATTGTATAAATGGCTAGACCGTACTAGATTCTTTGGGCTGGCTATTGACCAGCTTCTCTGACAGACCCAAGGAGAGCCGCACTGCCTCTGCCGGTCTCTTGGTGCCTACCCTCTGGAAGGTCCTTGTCTAGAGATAGGATCTGAGAGGAGCTGGCTCTAAGGATGTTGCTCCCAAGAGGTTGCCTCCCAACCTGGACACTTGGTGAGAAAAGGCAACTGACTCAAGCAGAGGCCTAACTTGGGTCCTACCCAGGGTCTTCTGGGCCGTTCCTCATATTGGAACTCTGCAGGAGCTGGCCAGTCTCTCTTCCTACCCAGGACAAACAGAGGCTGCTTGGCTTCCTAGCCTGTTCCCTCATCCACTGCTTCTTGGCTTGTGGTGAGGAAACACAGCCACATACACACGGGCGGAAGCACCTATGCTGGAGCTTGGTACAGCTCTAAACTTTCAATTACTACGGTTGTTATTGTCGCTGTCATCTGCACTAGGCGCTAAGCGTTGAGTTTAAGAAACACTTTTAACCAATGTTTCCCTGTTGGCAAATGCAACAGCAGAGGCCTCCAAAGGGAGATGAAAGATGGTAAACTTGGGAATAAGACCCAGCTCACACCAGAGAAAGAGTATTTATTGGCTGAGGTACATTATGGGTAGGTGTGGGGTGTCATGGCATAGACAGGCTGCTGCTCACAGGTTCAAGAACTAAAGCCATGGATCTTCTGGCAGGGGACGGCTGTGACACTGGCGTTCCCTACAGCAGCACCAGGATAGCCTCTCCTAGCCACATCATCCCCTGCACAGTGACTCACCAGGCAGCACCCAGCCAGTTTATACCAGAGGGGGACAAGAGTTTCAGGGGATGGTTTAAAGTATTATTTCATTTAATATATTTATTTACTCCTTTTTTTTTTTTTTTTTTTTTTTTGAGGCAAGACTCCTCCTCTGTATAGCCCTGGCTGTCCTAGAATTCACTCTAGGCATTTGCCTCTGCTTCCCAAGTGCTGGGATTAAAGATGTGTGCCATCACTGCCCAACTTAAAGTATAATTTTAGATTATAAACTAATTACTCAGAGGGTTAAGATCAGGAGGATATCCATAAGTTTGAGGCTAGCCTGGGCTATGTGATGTGTACTAGGCCAGCTTGGGCTGCAAAGTGAGACACTGTCTCAGACTGGGGTGAGGCAGGGAAAGGATGGGCGATGGAATGGTGGTCTACACCTGTAATCTCAGCACTTGGAAGGTGGAGAGGCAGGAGGGTCAAGAATCCAGAGCCATTTTCAGCTACATAGCAAGAGCGAGGTAACCTAGGCTATGGCACCCTGTGAGGAATTACTATATTTGCTGTACATTTCATCACATAGGATATCCTTTACCAACCAGTGAAAAATACAGCTACAGCACAGAAAATCTTGAAAGTAAAAAAGCGTCATAATACATTTCTCTAACAGATTTGTTTTTTGAATAGCAGTTTGATATATTCCCTTCTGTTTTCCCCTCTGTTTTTAAAAGCGATCTTATCAATTTTTCCTGCTTTGTAAAGTAATGTACCTATGGAGAAAATTATTTTTAAGAAGGCCAAAAGAATAAAATAAGCTATCTGCTGTATAGATAACCACAGTCTGGCATACTGGTCTGGTTAAGGTTTTTAAAGTTCTTTCATTTATACTGTTTTATAATCTTTCCCCGTTTTCTAATATATCTAACATTTTCTATATTATCAGATATTCTTCTATTATTTCTAATGACTTCATAGACTTCAGTTTGCTCCATAGTATTGAATAAATCTCTCCCTGTGTCTGTCTCTTTCCTCCCTCTTTCTTTCTCCCTTCCTTTTCTTTCGTTTTTTTTTTTCTTTCCCTAGAAATGAAATCCTGTGCCTCCTACACCCTACAACTGAGCCCACACTCTCAACCTATGCTATTTTTTTTTTAAGGAAAAATACCTTGTAACTTTGTGTTCATAAATTCTTAATCACATTCTTTGAATACATTTCTATGTGAATGGCATTTGGGCTATAAAATATCTTACTCCAGACTTGGGATGGGCTATGGGAGAGCCCTTACGCAGTAGGTGAACCTCCCTGAATTCTATACCCAGCGGTGCAAATAGACAAACTATTGTCAGAATGCCCTTAGAAGGCATTTCCATTTCCACTAGAAGTTTTTCCTGTTTTCTTCACACCCAAACCAACAATGGGTGTTGTCTGCTTTTCTAATTAACTAACATTTTTACTGGCTGTCTCGTTTTACTGTTTCTTTTACTGGCGGTCCCACCCTGCTGGACTTTATAATCAGCTTCGGTGACTGCTTAGGATACCACCTAGCAAATCTAATATGCTTCTCCAGACCATCTTCTTTTGTTGTTTATTTAGGACATATTTCCCTTCCAACTGTAATGCTGTAATAAACATTTTAATGCAAGAATCTTTAAAAAATACTCTAGGTTACTTTTTGTGTACTGAATACTCAAAGATGGAATTACATGAGCTAAGAGGTAGGCCAGTTTTACGGTTCGGATAAATACCCCCAAATTTCTTTCCAAACGGATATTAAGAATTCATGAAGACACCAGCAATGTCTGTGAGAGAAAACACCCTTGCCAACTTATTCCTGATTTCCTCCCACGTGATCATTTAACAAACAAACAAACAAACAAACTGATAAACAAAAAGGTACGGACTACCCTATGTTTTCCTTGCATTTGGTTGCTAATGAAGCTGGTAATTTGCACATATTCTCCGAATTAGTGGAGACGCTCACGGGGAAACATCAAGGCAGGACCCTAGTTAGTGCCAGGACTGAGGGAAGTTACTGCGGCCTCATTGGAGACAGAGCCGCCAATGAGCCACCACGGCCTCCTTTTACTGTTCCAGGCTACTCAATCACCAGCAGTAAAAGATTTCTGAGGGAGGCCTCGAGGGCGCAGCGTCCCCCTTTCCCCATCAAGCAGGGTGCCGCTAGGCTGGAGAGACCCATCTGACTTCAAGTCGGCAATTCAGTGAGGAGCGGTGGTGTCGAAGTGGCCGAGCCCGGGGCTGACAGGGTGGGTTTCTAGCACCCGTGGTCAGGAGGCGTCGAGTGTCTGAAAAAGTGCTAGTGACTTCGGGCCAGCGTCGATTCCTGCTTTATTTCCTCCAGGAAGGACCAGGAGGAGAATGAGTCTTCAGAGCGCGCGTTTGTTGTGCGTGTTTGTGTGTTTGTGCGTGTTTGTGTTTGTGCGTCTTGTAAACACAACCGCGGCGCACGCCCGTCGCCGGTCCCCCCGGGGGCGGGGTGCGCTCCTCCGCCCGAGCCCACGCGGCCGGGGCCGGTTCAAAGCGCCCGCGGCCGCAGCCGGCCCCGCGGAGCCTTCCTCGGGTGCCGGAGAGGGCCGAGGTGGGTGGCTTCGGGGCCCCCGCCGGGACGGAAGGCCGCGGCGAGGGTGGGCGCGCACGGCGACCCGCGCCGCCCCGCCACCTCCGCGCGCGGCCCGGGCAGCCTTCCATGCCGCCGGCCCCGCGGCGGGACTCGCGCGTTCCCGGCCGAGGACGGGCTGTCCCTGGCCCAGCCTCAGCCAGACGCGGGGGAGACACGGCGGGGTCTGGTTAGTACCGGCCGGAAAGGAACTGGCCAGGAGGAGGACGAAAAAAACAAAACAAAACAAAAAAAAAAAAACTCAGAGTGGAGGAAGAATGGAATCGCTCAGTTACAGAACACACTGGGTGGGTTGGAAGCTGGGGACCCCGAGCGCCCACCGGGGGTCCGGGGAGGGTCCCGAGCCCGCCCACCCCGTCCCTCGAGGCTGTGGGAAGGATGCGGGAGACCGGCCGGGATGCCCGAGCGGCTCGGCACGGCCACCGCGCCGGGAACCCACCTGCTGCCGCGACCCGGCCCGCCGCAGCATTTATAGCCCGGGGC